TCGGTCTATCGTCGGCACCATATATTTTCACAAAAATACTTAAACCAGTGATAACAAACTTGAGATCTAAAGGTTTCTTATCAATTCGATATTTAGATGACATTTTATGTATCGGAGGTTCCTATGACGAATGTAAACACAATGTCAATGAAACAATTGAATGTTTAACTAAACTAGGCTTCGTTATCAATTACAAAAAGTCTAACCTAATTCCAAGTAGGTTATGTAAATTCTTAGGCTTTATATTAAATTCCGAGAAAATGATTTTAGAACTACCCGAGAAGAAAAAAATACAAATTTTAAAAAGCATTAATAAAATTTTTGTGTCAAAAACAATTAAAATTCGCGATTTTGCTAGTTTTTTGGGAACCCTAACAGTAGCATGTCCAGCTATAGCATATAGCTGGATGTACACAAAATTATTCGAGAGAGAGAAATTTTTGGCATTACGTAATAACTGCGATAACTATAATGCAGTTATGAATATCCCAAACAGTTTCTGTGATTTTTTTTTTCTCTTTATTATTCAAATAACGGAACTAATTATATTAAAACAATAAGCCGCAAAACTGCTCAGCAGTTTGTCTGCAGCAAAAGCGCTTAACTTAATACTTATTTCTAATCTATATATACACACACATACATTCACATAAACACATTCCTGTAGAACCAGGTATCTTATTCCATACAATGTTTGTTTACAAAAAAGTTTAATAATTTCTTTTTGAATAATTTTTTGGATACATTATCTAATGATCTTATATTTTTTGGTAACATATTATAATATTTTGGAACTAGATATTTTCTAGTTCTTGATCCGTAATAATTACAGACCTTAGGTACAATGTATTCTTTATTGTTAACTTTACGTGTAGTAATTTTATGAATAACATGATTTTTAAATTTATTATTTTTAAAATTCTCTATTAATATTAATAATTTATTTATATTTTTTATATCTAATAATCTGCATATTCTAAACAACTCAATGTACCTATTTTGCTTACATTTATGTCTCTTATTTTTATCAACTAGTAGCTTCATAAATTTTATTTGTAAGTCCTTAATTTGATTAAGATATGTGTCAAAGGTACAACCGTAACTACCCAAACCATAAGATAATAAGGAATCTATTAGCGCATGATATATTGTATATAACGTTTTTCTGTTAACTGCAAAACTTAGTTGATGGAATTTTGCCAACATTGATCTTAATTTAGCACAAACATTATTTACATGTAATCGCCATGACATGCTCTGGTCAATTATAAGACCAAGCTACTTATAGTGAGAAACAAATTCTATCTGAGGGCAGCTACAGTCGTTATCTTCAACATGTAAACAATTGTAACTATGTGCTATAATGTTAAATGTACAATCTTCTAATTTAAGCTACGGGGAACGCAAATGCATACATTTAGTTTTATTTAGGTTTATAATTATACCATTATCATGTGCCCATTTTATAACATTTGTTAAGTCAGTTTGGATATTTTTCTGTATGTCAGCAGGGTCTCTTCCAGCATACAGCAAACATGTATCATCCGCATACATGATCATTTTACATTTCTTAACTACATTACACAAACTATTGACATGCATTATATACCCTATTGGTCCATAGACTGATCCAGTAGGGACACCATACAGTATATCAGACTCATCTCCAGTGATACCGCATATATGCGTTTTTAGTTTTCTTTGGTTCATATAACATTTTAACCACTGATTAATGGGACCTCTTATTCCACATTCTGCCATAGCCTGTAACAACTGTTCATGATTTAATGTATCAAAGGCTTGTTTAAAATCAATAAAAACGGCTACTACACTCTGTTTTTGATCAAGACAATTGTTTACATGGTCGGTGAACTCATTAAGGGCTGTCGCAGTACTGCGTCCTCGCCTGAAACCATGTTGTGTATCCGATAATACAGCATGGCTCTCTAAAAAATTTGTAATTTGCGTCACAATTACTTTTTCTGTTATTTTATTAATTATATAAAGGATAGCAATTGGCCTATAGTTTGTGTACTCGTAGTGACTACCATGCTTATATAGGGGCCTTATTACTGATGTTTTTAATAAATCGGGATAACAACTTTGTGCCACACTCATGTTTATAAAATGAGCTATGACTGGACTAATTTGTTTTTTAATATATTTTATATCTGTCACTCTAATTTTATCTGCACCCGGGGCTTTGTTAGGGCTTACTTTATCTATTATTTTTCTATATCATATGCAGTTACTTTCCTATACCTCATAGACATATTAGACTCCTCTACATATATATTTCTATCTATAAATTTATCATTACAGTTATGTTTTATGTTATGTATTTCATTAGTAAACGTTTTTGAACTTATGTTTTGAATTGTTTCTTTCTTACCCAAATATTTCTTAATAACATTGTCTATGTTCCCCTTTTTTCTACCCAGCCAATTATTAATATTTTCCCAAATTTTTCTTACATCATTTTCACATTTTTTTTTAATTCATTCTGTCTGTACATATTAAAACATTTATTTATACATTTGTTTACTTTATTTCTATATTTTGTGTATTCTAATTTACTAGTAATATTTTTTGGATTATTCTTTGACTTTCTAAATAATTGATCTCTCCTATATATCATATGTAATATTTTACTGTTTATCCATGGTTGCCTGTATCTAGATTTCTGAGTATTAGATTGGTATTCACAACTGGCATATATCTCACTAAACAATGTACTTAATCTATGATATAATAACAAGGGACACTCACACAATAAGAACTCCCGCCACTCCACTGCATCCAATTTATCACAAACCTTTTTATTATTTATTTTAATCACTTTCTCGTCGACCTGCTTAGAGCATGCCATGTAGTCACTTATATCAATAGACAATCCCACTAAGTAGTGATCGGAAATGTTCGCTGTGAGTATGTGAGAAGCAGGAACAGTTTGCCGCGTACGCACCCACACATGATCGACGACGCAGACACACTGCCATCGAAGCGATGCTCCTCACGAGTAATTCCATTTATTGTGCATTGCAATCCATGCCCATACATAATATTTTGATACCGTTTCGCCAACATACCAAGATCATTTATTTCAATATTTATGTTTGCATCTCCAATTAATATTATGTCGCTCCTATGAGGTATACATTTTATCAAATTATTTAACTCGACAGTAAATCCCATTCTATTAGTATGGTCTATACATAACTAATAAATATATGTTTAAATAGTTCTCTAATATTAATTTGCCTTGAACGTATTCTCCATATTTTCCTTTAATGACATTAGTTGTGAAATTATATTTCTTTTTCACATACACCAATATTCCTCCTCCTCGTCTTGTTTCTCTTGTGTTCCAATACATATCATATTCAGGCAATGTATACAATGGTAATTCATCCTGTGTTATGTTGATTTCTGAAAGTGTGATTATATCGAGACATGGCCGGCATCTTTCGATATATATTAAAAATTGCTTGAAATTTTTTCTTAATGATCGTATATTTAAATGTATTACATTAAGACATTTATTATGTCCGTTTATATAAGTATTCCATTTGGCAACATCCGAGTATTTCACACATTCAATTTCTGTAGGTAAATCAAATGATGGTGTGAATTGTATAATATAAGGATGTCAACACATTTGTTTACACTTAATGTATTGAAAAAGCTCAAGGCATGTTTGGTAGATCATGACACTTTTTTAACTGATTTATATCACTATCCGATCTTACAGTATATATTTTATGACCTTCTAATTTGCGGACGAGTCTATTCCCATTAATTATCCATATGTATTTATAAATTTGTCTTAATTCACTTCTTGCCTTCCACAATAATTCACGTTTGGATTTTGTGAGGTGTTCATTTATGTAAATTCGCTTTTAATTTTGGTTGTTATATACATCACTGTTCTGTAAATTATTATGCTTTCTTACTTCCAACCACTTATCTCTCTGTATTCTGGATGTCATTGTTACAATAATTGCTCGCGGTTTTTGCTGGTTAGGTTTTTTAACGCCCATTCGTCTTGCCTCCACAATGTTTTCTGTGGGTAGATCTAACTTATTAGCCAATTTATTCACTACTGATTTTACATTTTCGTTCTCCAATTCCTCCACACCCACAATTTCAATATCCTTCTCCTTGCTTTTTTGTTCAATTAATATAACCCGTTCCTCCAGTGCCTGATTGCATCGTTTTAGATGGACATTTTTTTGTTCCAGCGAGATAATTTTTTTCTCCATTTTATCTTTGTTTTCTACTAATTCTTGATATTTTTTCTGCATAAAAATCCACAGATTCCGACAGATCATTAATAGTTTTTTGCATATTGTATAGAATTTCTAGTTTTTCATTAATTTCCAGAAGAACCTCTTCAGTTGATTTTTGAGGGTCGATGTTAATTTTTGGTGAGCATATTGATAAATTTTTCGTTGATTTTGTTCCAATTTTTCTAAGATTTTTACTCATTGTTATTAAGTATTTAAATAACACAAAAGTAACTAACTTTTATAAACAATATAACAATAAATAAATACTAAGGAATTTATTATTTATGCGTACAGTCTGCGCAAGCGCTGACGCCTGACTGATGACTTACTATGGTGGAAAAATAATATTTTGCTTACTCAAAACCCTATCCGACGTGGAAAATTCGAATTAGAAATTTTTACGGACGCGTCTAAAACCGGTTGGGGGGCCGCATGTAACGGCGAGAGAACTGGCGGTCATTGGTCAATCAAAGAACAATCTCATCACATAAACTATTTGGAATTGCTAGTTGTGTTTTTCGGAATAAGATCATTTGCTCAGGATAGAAATAATTGCGAAATTCTACTACGTATCGATAATACCACCGCTATATCCTATGTAAACAGGATGGGCGGAATCCAACATCTCCATTTAACATTCATTTCAAAAGAAATCTGGCAATGGTGCGAATCCAGAAAAAAGTTCCTTTAGGGTGTAGGGAGCACTAGCAGATGGCTAGACGGCTGGCGACGATAATTGTTGCACCTGTTAAACAGAACAACAGTAAAACACTGCCCCGCCAATCCATGCGCATTGCTACATGGAATGTCCGTACTATGAGGACAGGCCTCCCGGATACCTGTGGAGGGTCACAATCATATTGCGCACAAGATCTGCGTAAAACTGCTTTGATTGATGCAGAGTTAAGTAGACTAAACATCTCAGTCTGTGCTTTACAAGAGACCAGGCTTCCAGACGATGGCTCATTGCGCGAGTCTACTTATACATTCTTCTGGAAGGAAAAGAGTCCTCAGATGTTCGCGAACACGGAGTGGGTTTTGCGATACGCAACGATTTACTGTCCGCCATCGAGAACCCACGCGGCATTTCGGAACGCATTATGGTCTTGAGACTCAATAGCAGTTGCGGTTCTATTACTATTATTTCCGCTTATGCTCCGACTTTAATATCTACGGACGAGTCAAAAGATCGATTCTATAACCAACTGAGGGAGACAGTAAAGAATGTCAATCGAGGCGATCGCCTTTATATTTTAGGCGACTTCAATGCCCATGTTGGCGGAGATTATACCGCATGGCCGAATTGTATTGGTTACCATGGCATTGGCAAGCTGAATGAAAATGGTCAACGGTTACTCGAGTTTTGCTCCGAATACTCGCTGTGTGTAACTAATACATATTTCAAGGGTAAAACGTCGCGTAAAGTCTCTTGGAAACATCCGAGATCTGGTCATTGGCATCAACTGGATATAGTACTTTCCAGAAGCAAAAATCTTCGTGATATTCTCCACACACGTTCCTTCCATAGTGCCGACTGCAACACCGACCACTCACTGGTAGCGGCACACATAGCCTTCACTCCCAAGAGGATACATTCGTCCAAGGTGCCGGGTAGAAGAAAGCTAAATCTTTCTAATATCAGGAATGACGAATGTGTCCAAAAATTTGAGTGTTTGGCAAATGAAATGCTTGCTGCATGGGACGGTAGTGCACCTATAAATGTTGAGTGGAATAACGTCAGAAAACTACTCACTGAGAGCGCCGGCGAGGTTTTCGGTTATCAGAAAACCAAATCTCACGACTGGTTCGCGGAAAATGTCGAGCACCTTCAACCATTGCTGGACTCAAAGCGTAACGCTGCCCTTAGGCATCGCTTGAATCCCAGTACGGACACCGACAAAGCGCTTCGAGCTACAAAGGCGGCTCTTCAACGGAGTGCACGGTACTATGCCAACTTATACTGGTCGGAACTTGGCCGCACCATTCAAACCTGTGCAGATAGAGGGGACATCGGTGGTGTCTATGAGGGTGTCAAACGGGCCCTTGGACCTATTAAAAAGAAGTCAGCACCTCTTAAGGACGCGAATGGTTTTATTATAACCGACAACCAAAAACAGCTCGAACGCTGGGTTGAGCATTACACCGGTCTCTACTCACGTCCTGTATACTTACAGCCAGAGGCAGTGCTGAGTATGCCGAAAATGGATGTTTGGACCGAACTGGATGATCCACCGTCCTTAGAGGATTTCATCGTGGCTGTCAATCAGCTTAAACGCGGAAAGAGTCCCGGAAAAGATGGCACCCAGGCTGAAATAATTAAACTCGAATGCGCGAAACCAATCCTGCGGAATCTTTTGTTGAAGTGCTGGGAAGCGGGTGATGTGCCACAGGATATGCGAGATGCCAACATCATAACACTATACAAAGGGAAAGGTGACCGCGGCGACTGCAACTGCTACCGTGGTATATCCCTTCTGAGTATAGTTGGCAAGCTTTTTGGACGTGTTATTCTATGTAGACTCCAAAAGCTTGCGGCGCGCATTTACCCAGAGACACAGTGCGGGTTCCGTTCTCAGCGTTCCACGGTAGATATGATCTTTACACTCAGGCAATTGCAAGAAAAGTGTAGAGAGCAGAATACTAGAGAAGACTCCCCTGTTTGTGGCTTTCGTTGACCTCAACAAAGCTTTTGACACGGTTAGCAGGGAGGGTTTGTACTCGGCGCTGGGGAGCATTTGGTGTCCACCTAAACTCCTGAGCCTCATTAAATCTTTCCACGAGGATATGAGGGGCACCATAGTTTTTAACGGCCAGTCGTCTGAATCGTTTGACGTTCGCAGAGGTGTGCGGCAGGGCTGCGTCTTGGCTCCCACCCTGTTTGGAATATATTTCTCGCTCCTGATATACACAGCATTCGGCGATGACCATCAGGGTATCCATCTGCATACAAGGACCGACGGAAATATTTTCAACATCTCTCTCCTCAAATCTAAGAGAAACCGCGAGGACCTTTTCGTAGTTAGTCTTCTCTTTGCCGATGACGCCGCCTTTGTAGCCAATTCTGCAGCTGAGCTTCAATCTATGTTGGACAAATTTTCTCAGGCCTGCTCCCTGTACGCCATGTATGTTAACACCAAGAAGACAGTTGTGCTAACACAAGGCATTCAAGAAGCCCCTTTAATTTCTTTGAATGGCACGCTGTTAGAGGTAGTTGACAGGTTTTGCTACTTAGGGTCGACCGTGTCAAACAATCTCTCGCTTGAAGCGGAGATCGACTCACGTATTGGCAAGGCGGCAACTATGTTTGGGAGGCTTAGTACACGAGTATGGTACAACAAATACCTGACTATCAAGACCAAGATGGTAGTCTTTCAGGCTTCCATACTAAGCATTCTCCTATATGGAGCCGAGACCTGGACAACGTATGCAAAACAAGAGAGTCGATTAAACACTTTTTACATGCGTTGTCTACGCAAAATTTTGGGCATTTCATGGCGTGACAGGGTAACCAACGAGAGGATTCTAGAAATCGCACAGCTGCCTAGTTTGACAGCATTTCTTAAACAGAAGCGCCTACGTTGGCTAGGGCACGTGCACAGAATGGAACCCTCTCGTTTACCACGACGCGTTCTGCTCGGTGCAATAGCGAATGCAAAGAGAGATGTAGGGAGGCCTTTGCTTCGCTTTAAGGATTGCGCCAAACGTGACATGGCCACTTTTCAAATAGACCACCGTAGCTGGGAAAAGCTCGCAACCAATAAATCAGATTGGCGCAAACGCGTAATGGAGGGTCGAAGGGTTTGCGATGATGCCTGGCTTCAAAGGCTTGCTGACAAGAGACGGAAGCGCCACCTAGGCGGCTCAGTACAGACTACTGCCGATAGTTTCCCTTGTCGGGCCTGTGGTAGGCCATGCCGTTCTCGTATCGGTTTATACAGCCACGAAAAAAGCTGTTCACGGACCATTACGCCATAAATCGTCTATAATAGACGCATAGGCCATTATATATATATATCATCTACTTTCAGAACAATACACCCGCTGCACCACCATCTTTCATTGGCAGCGAGCATTGTATGCAACAGGCGTTCCTCAAACAAGGTGTACCGAATTCTGCAATAAACACTATGTTATCGTCCTTGTCCAAAAATACCATAAATCAGTATTCATCCAGTTTTAAAAAATGATGGGAATATTGCATAGAAAAGAGAATAGATTTTTACGATGTCGAAATAAGTTCATTATTAGATTTTCTTAGCAGATGCTTAGATGGTGGAGCGTCCTACTCCACTTTTAACAATCATCGCTCAGCAATTTCTTTAATTTCAAGAAATTGTATAGGCGAAAATCCAATGATTAAAAGATTTTTCAAAGGCGCATTTAAATTAAAACCAACATTCCCGCGCTATAATATAACTTGGAACCCTAATATTGTGTTGGATTATCTGTCTTCTTTACACCCAAACAACACATTGTGTTTAGAAAAAATAACACATAAATGTACTGCTTTGTTAGCTTTGGCAACAGAACAAAGAACTCAAACAATTTCCCTAATCAGATTAGAGAATATTAATATATATGATGATAGAATAGTTATTATGATTACAGACTTGGTGAAAACATCAGCCGCAGGTCGAGCCCAACCGGTGTTAGACCTCCCGTTCTTTATAAGCAAGCCGAGTATTTGCCCTGCTGCCTCAGTTATCGCCTACATGTCTGCAACTGCTTCAATCAGACCGCAGAAAGAAAATAATTTATTCCTGACTTGTAAAAAACCTCATAGGGCTGCTTCACCATCGACCATAGGGCGGTGGATTAAGCAGATCTTAAAGCTAAGTGGTATCAACACCAATGTATTTCGAGCACTTAGCACCCGTCACGCGGCGACCTCGGCTGCACTACGCGCTGGCGTAAGCGTTGATACAATCCACCGTTGTGCTGGTTGGACTGGAAACTCTACCACTTTTGCCAATTTCTATAATAGACCGATTATCAGTAGGAATACTAATCTATTTAGTAATATATAAATAGTTCATTGTTAATTTTAAGATGATTAATTTATAAGTAAGATGTGATTGTTACATTTATACCTAAGTACATTTTTTGTTACAATAATAAAGAAATATATTATATAATAGAAATCTATCAATAATATTCAGTATATTTGCCTTATAGTTTTATTTTACAACATTGACTTTTCTCTAAACATCTACATGGTTAATAAAAATAAATCTCGTTGGCGAAAACAGGATAATTAGATGATCAAACGAACTTGCAAAAGTGAAGTTCGATCTTAATTATCCTGTTTTCGCCGAAGAGATTTAAATTCCCACCCAATCCCATATTTTTATCCCTTAAAACAGGTGAATGTTGTAAATAAACCCAAATCTTTTTTCTCTAAAAATAATGAGGCTGCTCAACGATACTATAGCGAAGTAGAGTGGAGGAGAGCTCTCCCCACTTTTTTCTTTTTACCCCTACTACGCTTAATATTGTGTGCGGAATGGCTAGTCGTACTGAGGGTACTACATGGTTAATAAAAATAAATCTCTTCGGCGAAAACAGGATAATTAAGATCGAACTTCACTTTTGCAAGTTCGTTTGATCATCTAAGTATAACATAATTAAACATATTAATATTAAGAATAAACAATATCTACCAATAGTATAACTGAAACAATGATCACTTATATATAAAACACATTTAGGATAAATACAGATTGTCTATATGATCTTGTGGCCTTTGATATGGAGTTCTGGAATGTACATTTAACTTAGTTCTAATTTTCCCCGGATTCCCGGATTTCCCGGCAATGTTGATTCCGAAGAAGGAGGGATACCCAAAATCTCAGCCCATTTCTCGGCATCTGGTATTTCAATAATTGTCTCTGACTCTTGACTACTATTTTCCTGTTGCTCTTGTTGGTAATTCGTACCACTACTGTCTGTGCTATTAGAGTCTTTATTTGCCTCTGACGTTATATCAGTAATCCCTTCTTCCCCTTTCTCTAGCCTTGGTTTATATTTAATCAACTGATCAATATGCCGATTAACTGCTACACCTTCCTCTGTTTCAAGTTTGTAATTGGAAGGCCCACTTTTCTGCAAGACTTTGCCTGGTAACCATTTAGGGCCCTGATTGCTATAATTTCTGAACATTACATTTTGTCCCACAGTAGTTTCTCTGCCTGCTATCTGTTTATTGTTGTCAATTTGTATTTCTGTTCTTTTATGTTTCAGATTATCTGAATGTATAGTATCTAACAATGTGCGCAACTGTCTATTCATTAATAGTTCTGCGGGGGTTTTATTTGTTCCTGTACATGGAGTAACCCGCAAACCTAACAATAAATTCGGAATTTTGATATCCCAAGATAAATCATTCATTTTCTTTAGTTTATCTTTGACTGTCTGTACCATCCGTTCTGCTAATCCGTTGGTCGCCGGATGGTAAGGTGCTGTAGTTACCTGACGAATTTTATTGGCCTGCAAAAAATGCTTCATATCTCCTGATACAAACGATGTACCATTATCCGATACTAAAACTTCACATAGACCATGAGTTGCAAAGGTCGTTCTCAGCAATCGTATTACCGTGGCTGTTGTTGTATTATTTACCATGAATACTTCAGGCCATCGGGAATATGCGTCGACTATAATTAAAAAATATTTGTTGTGATACGGTCCAGCGAAATCGATGTGGATTCTTGACCAAGGTCTCGAAGGTGTAATCCATTCATGTGTAGTCTTAGGAGGCATATGTCGATTTTCCAAGCACCTAACACAACCACCAACTAGAAGTTCTATGTCATCATTTAGTTCAGGCCACCAAACGTAGCTTCTAGCCAGTGCTTTCGTTTGAACTATACCTGTATGTGTTTTATGTAGTATTTGGAGCGTTGCTCGAGTGTGAGGTACGACGCGGCATCCCAGAAGTATGCAATTTTCTTGCAGTGACAGTTCTGTGCGATGTAACCAGAATGGTCGTAAATCAGCGTCGGTTTCTTTTGCAGGCCATCCCCTTTGTATGTAATAAATAACTTTAGATAATATTTTATCCCGATTTGTCTCTCTAGCTATATCTTCTGCATCAAATGGAAAATCTTCTGGAGCTTCAGCCATTAAAAAAACCTCACCAATATGTGTTTGAGGTTCACTTTGTACTGGTTGTGGCCAACGACTTAAATGGTCAGCATTACCTATCTCTGGACCAGGCTTATATTTTATCTCATAGTTATGAGATGTCAAGGCTATGGCAATTCTCGTCAACCGTGGTGAAATCATATTAGGCATTGGCTTCTTCGGATCAAATATACCAAGCAATGGTTTGTGGTCTGTTGTTATACAGAATTGTCTTCCTGTGAGATAGTTCTGAAACTTTTTTATGCCAAACATAATTGAAGCGGCTTCTTTGTCAAGCTGTGAATAACGCCGTTCATGAGGATATAAAGTTCTAGATGCCGTAGCTATAGGAAATTCGTTATTATCTGTTACATATGACAATACAGCTCCTACACCATATTCTGAACTATCACAAGTAAGTGTTATAGGTTTAGCTACGTCATAATGTACTAACGTTAAATCAAATGTCAATAATCGCTTTGCCGTCTCAAATGAATTTTGTTCCCTTTCAGTCCAATGCCATTCTTGCCGGGTATCCAGCAAACGATGTAAAGGCTCCAATAAAGTGGCTTTATGAGGTATGAACCTCTCATAAAAATTATAAAGACCAAGAAAAGCTTGTAGTAATCGTTTGTTTTTAGGTTCAGGAATATTTGTAATAGCTTCAACCTTACTTGGTGCAGGATGGATCGGATCGATCTAAGTCAACAATCAAGGCATATATCATAATATTAAACTCGGCTATCATTTCACATTTATGTTTTTGATGGGATCTTATTAACATCACATGCTGTTGCTTTTTTAAGGCGCATAGATAAGTTGATGGGGTTTTTACATATTTTGGGATCAAGAAGCTTTGTTGTACAAGATGGTATGATATACTTTACACTATTGTTAAAGGTGTTTGCAAAGTTATTCGCAATATCACTAGTTTTCATGAAATTTTTCTCAAATGCTTGTAGTATAATTTCATCAACTGATTTTCTAATTCTACCGGTTATTCTGTTTAATATATCCCATAAATTTTTAGAGTTATTCTTGTTAGTGTCGATAGATTTAATAATTTCACTATTTTTAGCTTTTTGTACTAATTTATGAGCATAATTTCTAGCTTTATTATATTTTAGCTTTAATATCATATTATTACTATCCTTTTTCCATAACGTATATAATGTATCTTTATAGTTACAGGCATTTACAATTTTTTTATTTATCCATGTATTATTTTTTTTTCTATTAGAATTTATATTTATTTTTTTATATATTTTCAAATTTTTATAACATTCATGAATACTATTTTTAGTGATCTAGACACGCGGTAGCGTGTCAAGCCGAGTTTCAAGTAAACTGGCAAGCAGCACCGTGTGTATATTTACACGAACCATTTGGAGCCACTTTTGACCCCCTCATAACTCAAAAACTCTTTCACACAAACCTGTCAAATTTGGTTCATATATTGAGACTTGCGAGATAAATATGTGTTCCAAATTTCATAAACATATCTCAAACGGTTATTTAGATATTAATGTCCAAAAATCGTCATTTTTATCACTGATCAACTATAGATCAAAATTATAACCCACTTCCAGATGACCTAGTAAGTTCAAATTTGGCATGCAGATAGGTAATTAGGTGAAACAGTAAATGAAACTGGTAAATTGTTATCATTTTACTACAATTTTTCACTTTAATTGATTCTATTTCAACTTATACTGGACGAATATTATAAGGGATGAAAATAAAAGATACATATTGCGTAGTTTAAAACTAGGACGTGCAACAAGCCGCGTTCGCGTTGGTTGGTGGGAAGCTACTAAGCAATTAGGTGGGGAGGCTTGCATACGGACAGTACGGCGGGTCATTGCACATACCTGTACCTTTAATAAAATACATACGCAGGTGCGTAATACAGGTATACATACATTTCTAAACAATAGGGCAAAACAAGAACATCTTAAGAGGAACATGACATAAAAATATACAATAAATTATATATAAGTAGTGCGTCGCTTACACTGCCTCCTTAGTAGTAGGATAGTGCTAACCAAGTTAGCACTATCCTCCC